TAAGTAAGACTGCGAAGCAAGGGTGGGCTTAGCCACAGCAACGATTTCATGCCATGGGGGGCCATGGGGGGCCATGGGGGGCCATGGAGGTATAACAGTATAACCAAGAAAAAAGAGATGTTATAACCTCTTAACGTATTGCATAACCTCTTAACTTGTTTTAAGTATATAGCATAACTGTTATAACTGTTTTGCTATATACTTAAAACAAGTTAAGAGGTTATGCAATACGCTGTATACATACCTGTGGTGTCTTGAACCTACTTTTTTGGGGGTTGAAAAATGGAAAACTGTTTTTTGGCCTTTTTTTCGAACAAAAACCAGGTTTTGCAAAAAAAAAGGTTTTCCCAGGCGGCTGTTTTGGTGTGAACATGTGTGAACTATCGGTGTATAGCCACTGGATTTTGACCCATCCCCAAATGACCGTGTCGCAGGTGACAGCCTGCTGGGGACCGGGACCTGCTCTCGCTGTGAAACGCAGTGGCTGTGGGAGTTCGATGCCTGCTGGTGATGGGGGGAACAAGGAGATGGGGCAAATCCAATCAAATCCATACAAGTTTTGCCCGAATTATATCTAATCATCAGTATCATGGTGTTGGAATCATTTTTGACAGTTTGATGGTCCAAGTACGCGCTTTAGCTGTTTGCAACTGCAACATGGTTTGCAGATGGGTTTGAATGAACTCCCTTGAATGAACTCCCGCCGTGTTGCGGTGAATCTCGGCAATTTGGTCGGAAAAAAGTGTGCTATTATTGATATCGGCGTGTAAAGCTGGAACTACCGTCATTTATTCATTTTCCCATAAATTAAACCCCCAGAAACCTTAAGTTGGGTTGAGTAGTTATTGAATTTATTCGGGATCTCGAAAAACTTGGTGTGTAGCACCTGGTGCTCCATCTCCAGCCCCGCAGGTCCTCACAGCCGTGGCACGGTGCGTCTGACGGAGCTGCTGTTGGCAGCGCGTGCTGCGGTCGAAGCGGAGCCCAACGTTCTGGGCGAGACGCCGCTGTTGGCAGCAGCCGCTGGGGCGGAAATGGCAGCAACACTGAGTTCACTCATAATTCATAGGGGGAGGGCCAATTTTACAGTTTTTAGCAATTTATTTATCATGATTCTGGGTATATAATAGGGCTTCAAAATCTGCGGTTGACATTCATGGATATTAGTGGTAAATTAGGTTTCTATCATCTTGGTGGTTACTCAGCATATATATATATATATATAAAGAAACCAGGTACACAACTGTGTCTCTTGGCTCTAAAACTACTCTAGCTGGCTAGCTGCCCCATGTGGCCCCAGACGTGTAAACTTTTTTGGTGAATCACTGTGTTACGCGCATTTGTTGGTGAAAATCCAATATCTGGATAATTAGCCTCTGGCAAATTCACAGTTGGACCCTGAAAATCACCAATTGTTAATGGAAACTAATCTTCCAACCCCTATCTGGCAGGGTTTATGTTAATTTACTGGAGAATATTCCGCATTTGTTTTGCACTTGAAATCCCTTCTTTGGGGTTGAATCATTTGAATCCAGACAGTCTTACCCTCATCCCAATCCTCTTTGTTGGTTTGGGCTTTGTCAAGGAATGAGGTATTGTCACCCCTGGTTCATCATGTTCCCTATTAAAAATATTGTTTTTTTTTAAAAAAAAACGATAAATTGGGGCATACTCATAGTCCTTTTTTGGACACATCCAACTAATTGTCACATCCAGTGGGTTTGTTGATGTTGGTTCAGTATCCCCATTCCTGGCAAGAGATTAAGGTTGAAGTACCCATCTAAGGTTGACTCAAGACCCAGGGATCCAGGGGATCCAGCCCATCGAACTGGTTGTTCCAACAAGCACTCTAATTTAGCAGGGGAGATGAGGTTAGCTAAGTGATGATTCCATGAAGCCTCCATGGCCAGCGCTTGGACTGCGTTATCAATCGTTATTTGTTTTCAGAATGTTTTGTTGGGTCTGTTGGGTAGATTATGTTGGCCTAAAAGGATTTGAAACTTGAGTGTCACGCTTGTGCTTCATATAGTTATGTTTTTTTCACCGTAGTTCATTTGTCTTGCATCTGTTTGTTCAAATCCAAATCTGGTTCGTGGTTTCAAACATATGACTGGGATGGCAATGCCCTGCTCTTCATGGTATTTATGATGCCGATGTTCCCAGTCCCATGGATTGAAATATTTACAGTATGTGACATTCTGGGCCAACGGAAAAAACCGTATGACTGGGCATGCACTAGCAGTTATAAGTGGATACATATATATATATATATATATCATGATATATCACAACAGTTAAGTTGGTTATGAATAGAATATCCCAACTTTGGGGTTTATTAGCATATGGCATATACTATTTCAATCTATTTCTTGTTTTTCTGCTGATTGGCAAAATCTTCTGACCTTGCGCAGGTACGGGCAGCATGTCCAGTGGAAGTGCTTCAAGTGCTTGTGCAGGCGGATCGCGCAACACCATTGTCACCATTGGGAACTAGCCTCGGCTAAACATACAGTGACTGCTATGGATCACATGGCCATTAATGGCTTAATCAAGTACAAATGGCCATGATATAGGTGAGAAATATTAGTTCAGCAGAGGGGATTCTGTATTGATTCGGTTTCCACTATTTAGAAATGGAAAGAAAAGCGTGGAGAGAGATAGATGTCAATGGATAGAAATGGCTGACTATAAGCATGAGAATGACGGACACTGAATCCCATAAACCAAAATCCGGATTGAAACTAATGGGGATGTTGAAGCAACCAACATAAGGTTTACCAATCCTGACGAAGACCTTTTTTGGTGGGTATGGTTGTGCCACGCTGGAAATATCTGGAAATGTCTGGGCCACAGAGCCTGGATCCTTATCAAGGCCACTAGAGTGAAGCCTTAATTCTCTGCGCAGAGCCTGGCATCTTAGATTTACGCTTGAATAGTCTGAATAGTAGGGTTGTGTTGCATAGTCTGAGAGAAAGAGAAAGAAACCACATCAACCAGAATTTCCAGTGGATCAGGGCTAGTTTTAAAATTGACTGACCAGAATCCATTGCGCAATTTGTTGAATGTTATTACTTGGTAAATGCCTATGAACATTTGGTAATCAAACCTGGCAACGGGAAATCCCCACTTTAACCATAGGAAACCGCGTGGAAATGATAAAGTTTCCATGAATGTGAGAAACCCTAAACCATATACAATTGTGTTACTCCATTGGCCCAACGACTCACTAGAAATCATCAGCCAAACAATTCAAACTAGTCGTTTTTTTTCATGCTTTGAGGAGAGAACAAAACATGGGCGGAAAAAACAAACGACAACTACATGGCCATAGCAAGACATCTTATCACCGTCCATTTCCAGCTTCGGTTCCGAGGCGGGCGCAGATCCCAATCACCAAGACGACTTTGGCGAGACCGCGCTGATGGAAACCGCCCGGGGCCTGTTGGGAATTCATCAAACTCATCAAATTAGAGGCTTTTTTAAAGGGAATCTGTTGATGAAATATGTTGGCTAATATGCCTCTAATTTAGGAATATGTTGATGACATATTTGGGAATATGTTGGGAATTAGCCAAACATAACCAAACCAGTTGGAAGATGTGTTTTTTATTTTTTGTTGGCTCTTGGGGTCTTCAAATCCAAATAATCCAAGAGCCAGGAAAAACACCAGTCGTGAAGAGATTGAAGGTGAACATCTTTGGACCTGGGAGGATTTCTGGTGGTTTGAACTGTTTGGTTTGTTTCCCATCCTGGGACGATGATGGGGGTGAAACTACAACCAGAGGTGGTGGAAGACCCTTAGAACTGTGGCTACATAGCAACGTGGATAGCTAGGCTAAATTCGATTGGGTTATTGTATCAAGATGTATCAAGGTGAGGACAATAAAAAGACTGGCCACCAGGGAGCTTGCAGCAAGAGACCCTGAGCGAACCATACAACTCAATGATGTAAATAGCCACCTTCAGCCTGTCAAAATATGTCAAAATCATGGATGTCCTCTTTCCACTTGTTGGTGAATGCAGGGGCCATTGGCGGAAAAAACGCAACCGGGAACTGCTTCGAGCTCTATGGGAACTTTGTACCGGTCATAGCCGCTCTCATTGACCTTGATTATGAGAGGTTGTGGGCAAATGTGGGAGAGTCATGTTTTGATATTTTTTGACTAAGCCCTTTTTTTTCCTGAGGAAATAATGAAGTTCTTTTGTCATTTGAAGCAATGAACCAGGTGTTTTTGCCGTCTCCAGTCATCATGGCCCCGGAGAATCCCTCTATTTATCTTCTATTTATACCATTTGGTTATGAGTAACATAGCCATGGAAAGATCCACCATTCTTAAGAACGGTAAACTGTAAACTTTAATAGTTAAACCATCTATTTCTATGGGCTATTTCCCATGGCGAACTGTAACAAATAACCAGAGGGTAGCTCATGAATTTTCCCATTCAAACCTCCATTTGGTTCGTGGTTTTGGCAGCCAATTTTCATGGCACGTTTGGGCTCGGTGTCTGGGAAGCCGCTCGGACATCATCCAGCATGTGATGTCCGCGCCGTGGCACGGTGCATTTGTTGAAGCACCCAGCGGGACTCTAGCGTATAATGTTGAAAATGCAGTAGTTTTGGAGGAAACTATGATGAGTTGTTACTAGTTGATACTTCCAGATTCTAAATGTTCTTGTCATCTAATCATACTATACCATACTATACCTGCTGAGGACAATGATTCCAAGGACGATTTTAGCGTTCGATGCTTTTACCGCATTGTGTGCAGGCAGTTGCGCAGCCTCAGGAAGTGGGTCTATTTCAGAACATACCCCTATATTCACCCATGTCGACTGATAATCGGGATCCCCAAATCACTTTGTGCTTCGAGAATTTACATGAATTGAATAGATAATTTAATCCTTCCATTCAGAAACATCAAGAGACGCGCCATGTTGGGTTACCCTGCCTTTTGAATCCATTTGACACAAACCCATCTTGGGAGTTTCCGTTGCTCGCCATGGCCGGCTGGGGCGGCTGGGGCTGGGGAAATGAGTGGGGTGGCAATGACTGGAAGCGGAAACGCGACAGCGAACCAAAATGGAAGAACAACGAGCACCTGGACTATGCAAATTGCGGCCTAGGGAGCTATGCTGAGCTATACATGCGAGCATTTCTCTACTTGTATATTTAGATACATTACATGTATAATGCGCATATATATATATATATATGTGTGTGTGTTTGTATATGTACATATATATATATATATGTATGTTTTGTTATGTAATGTAATGTAATGTATGTATGTATATATATATATATATATGTGCGTGTGTTTATATCCTATTCTTTGCATATATAGATATATACGTATATATTGTACACGTATATGCAAAGAATAGATAGATAGGTGGATAGATGGATAGATGGATGGACTGGACTAGATTAGATTTTAGATTAGACTACAAAGATTAGATTAGATTAGATTATATAAATAGATAGATAGGTAGATATACATATATCAGCATTTACATATACATATACATCATATACATTTACAACATACACATCGTATACATTTACAACATATACATACACATCGTATACATGCACATTGTATACATTTACATCATATACATCATACACATCCTTTACATCATATACATCATATACATCATATACATCATATACATCATATACATCAAATACATCATATACATCATATACATCATATACATCATATACATCATATACATCATATACATATATATATATATATATATATATATTTACATTGTACATATGAAAATAAACATGTTTTTACTCAAGTTATATGTGCATAATGCGAGTTATATTAAATGCATGCAAGTTTGCTGTTTGTGTTTTTGCAGATGGCTTTTGCAAAAAGGTTACCCTGTGGGAAGCTGCGGGATGCAAACTGTTGACACAGAAAGACGTCCATAGAAACCACCGTATAATCTATATAATGGATTCATTTCTAGACCATTATTTTTGATGGTTAACCGTTTGCCCCGCCCCTATTGATATGATAGGCGAATGGGATTGCATACATCCTGAATGTTGATCGAGTGTGAGGAGCCACAGGGGATCAAGTCTCTAAGTGTGAAGTCTTGTAAGGGCTTTAGCCAAACGTAGTCTAACGGCCCTGATGGGCAACTTCTTGCTTTGCGAGGCATAAATGCAAACAGTGCAGAAAATGGGCTTCTAGTCACAATCTGGGGTCTGAGTTTGGGAAGGAGGTCTCCGTATTGTTGACAACTAGGGTGCGAGCCGCAAATGTTACAATATTTAAAAGATATGGAATTTATAAATGCGTGATTTTTTAAATGAATATGAAAGCAGAATTTATTTACATTTAGATTCTGGTTTTGATTAAAGTCAGTCCAGAATAGATGTGGCTATGCGATGATATGGTTTTGGGTGCTCAATTTGGAAGCATACCGACATTGGACTCCTATTTGGGCAGGTGCCTCCCCATACTTCCTCACACACTGGGCATATCGGTGGCCAAACCCACGGCACTAATTGATCTAATTGGGATTGGGACGCATTGCCCCCCGCCAACATGTAAATCACCAGCTTTGTGGGGGTAAAACGGCAAAGCCCCACTTGTGCAGGTTAAATCAATAGTTACATCAATAGGTTACAGTAGAAACCACCATTTTTGGCTGCGTCTCCATCTTGGCTGATTGAAACCCAACCGACTGTTAGACAGAGGACATTGATTGGAAAAACAAATTGTTTTTGTTGATGTTCCATTAAAGCATCCCAGTGACTACCACCACCTGAAAATAGGTAGCGTTTCTTTTGCGATTCCCATATAGCTCTATGTCCTGTTGGACCGCTGACTTCAAGTGAGGAATCTGAGGGCGAATGGGAGGGGAAGAGCTTCTACTGTGCCCGTTGCGCTGCGAAATATGCAGTGCAGGGGCATAAGGACGACTACCACGAGGACTTGCAGGGTTTGCGTGCGTTTTCTTTTTTAAAGGGATGTGTGTGTTGTTCCCCTTTCAACAGCGCCCTGGTGCTTGGAATTGACAAGTGTTTCAGCAGAAAACCGCCCCTGTAGTGCAAGAAACCTGAGAAACCACCAGGCTAGTACCGTACGAATCACATGGTCCAAGTATGTCCAAGTTATAGCTTCTAGAATGAATTTCAGGCCAAGAAAAAATACGGCAAGCCTCCATGTTTGATGATAAACGATATGGATGATATGCTACATGATATGGCAAACCATTGATTCTGGCATTTTTTGAAACGCGCCATTTAGTTGCGGGAGGACCATAGCCGCTCTGCAGAACCTTGGGTGGCCACTTACAAAGAGAAGCTGGTCGATCTGGTCGGTCAAAGCCAAGGGAAAGCCGATGGGGCCCATGGGGAATGTGATGCACAGTTCATTTGGATTATTTGCTTGGTGGTTTGGAACATGAATGGATTATGACTTTCCATATATATATATATAAATATAATTAATTATATATATATATATATATATGTTGGGAATTTCATCATCCCATAACTGACGAACTCCATCATTTTTCAGAGGGGTGGGTATACCACCAACCAGCTATTTCATGGATTGATTCAAGACTTTTTAGCCGCTAGACAGACTCACCAGGATGCAATTGAGCTTGGTCAAACACCCTTGCCTGTATTGTTTCACTTATTCTGATTCTAATATACTCTAATATATTTTAATATCTTCCTACCGGGGACGGATCCCAGTATCACGTGGCAGAAATTTCCAGAACCTTGTGGTTTCCAAACCTTCTCACTTTGCGGATTGACCAGTAGACTTAAGTTTGTTTGAAAATAGGATGCTCCAAAGTCTGATGGCTGATCATTATTTACCCAAAATATTGCCAGACATGGAGTGTATACCCATTCTACCCCGGTTATACTCCATTTGGGAATGGGTCGAAACCCAGAGATACACACACACACACACATATATATATATATATATATGTATACACTATACATACCATACCTGGGGGATGAAATTCTTTTGCTATTGTGGTGTTTAGCCGAATGCCAGGTTATCCAACATTTTGACCCATGCATTCCTGGGCCCAGGAAGTGGAAGGATTTGATCGAGATGGAGTGGCAAGAGGACCGAAAGGGGAGTGTGCTGTAGGGTCAGCCAGCTTTCCACGTCGTTTGCTTATTTCTTATTGGAACTTGATGTTTAACGCTGACATAGTTTGTCATCTACCAAGATTTGTTCCGTTGGATTCGAGATGATTCGAGTAGCCACAGACCTTTTCATTTGTGGACACTCTCCACTTTTCAAGGATTTGCACCACAGGCGGCCACAGGCGGTCGGATTCTTTTTTGTTGCGCTGGTGCTAGTCAAGTGACAAATGCCCCCAAGTACAGGATAGTTTAAAGCACCGATTTCTGCTCAAGTCACTTGCTATAGTAGTTATTACAGCAATTATCATCCATTGCCAATGCATAATATCCCTCCTGCTGTAATAATGATCATCCCTTGCTATAGTAGTTATTACAATAGGCTATTACTGTTTGTTGAGTTATATCCCTAGCATAGCTCATCATAGCTCCATAGTACTATAGTACTTCGATTTTTGATGGCTTTATAGAGGTTTACCACACTGGCCTCCACAAATCTGGCACAAATGGCCATGTTGGCCATGATGTTGGATGGGATCAATTGAGCAGTGTCATGCAGTGTCAAAAAAAACGGTTGGTTCATGTTATGCCATCCAATTTAGGGAATGTCACATTTCATATCATGGAATTTTGATGGGATTCCCTATCAACTCACCATTCCAAGGATTTTGTCCGATATGTTCGACTGACCAATTCGCTGCTGGGTGGCCTTACATGGGATGAGATCCCCAAGTTCGACACTGAACTTGGCAGGAGCTGCAAGTTGTGGAGGATCGTTTGAAGAATTGGCCACTGGGCTTCGTCGATAGGGCTGGAAAGGACATGTTTTGCTGAATCCCTAGCTGAAGAGTGGTGCCCCCCCATGTTGGTCTAGTTTGACCATGTTTGACCCCATAACTAGTTCGATATCCACAAACTCAAGACTTATATAAACCCACATTAAACCCAACGAAAGGCAATTTTTAGCCTAGGGCAGCACCTTTTGAGCTCGGATGATTTGCACCATGGCTGGATGTGGCTGGTGTCGAGGCCCTTGGCGCGCCTCGTGGGGCAGGGCTTTTGCATCACCGATTTGGAGGCGCGGAGACGAGGCGCGGCAGGTCGCCATAGATCCCCGAGCTGTTTTTGGCCAAAAAATCATTCATATCCATCAATATCGTGAAATTTCATGACATCTCATATTAATATTTAAATGAATTGCATCAAAATTACGAACACAAAAACGCTATGGCATGATCTTAATATGGCCAACTCGTTGTTTCTTTGATTCAAATTTGGAGCGGGACATGGGACGGACAGAACGCCCTAGGCCTCGCTCCGTGCAGGAGCTTTCTTCGGCAAGGCCAAAATCGTCTTCTCCAAACAGAACCTGCCGAGGTGAGCCAACGGTGGAGTAAATCTGGTGTCATGGTTAAGAGACCGTCTGGTTGGTGGTTTGGAACATTTGGATTATGATTTTCCATATATTGGGAATAATCATCCCAACTGGCTTTCATATTTTTCAGAGGGGTTGAAACCACCAACCAGCAGTGGTTGATGATGTAAACAAACAGTTTGCTATTGAACATGGCCATAGAAATAGTGGATTTGCCCATCAACAATGTTGATTTTCCATAGTTAATGATGACTAATGATGGTTAACATGAATGGTTAATGATGGTTAAATGATGATGAATATTAATTATGGTCAAATGATGGTTAAATGATGGGATAATGATTGGTTAATTATGATTAATGAATCACAAGTATCACAACGGCGGATTTTGGAAGATCCAACTGCCACTTGTTTTTTTTTCCCGGAATGTGTGTATTTACTATAATTACAGTATTTATTTATCTAGTTATCTTATGCAGATTTGAGTTTGCTGATGTTGCTGAATCTATTCGAATTTGTGTTGCTGGATATCGTTCACAAGACAATTTCGCAAGTAAGCAACAAATCATCAACTTACGGCTTAGCAAACCCCAAGTGAATAACACCAGATCCAAATAATGTAGTCTTTTTTGGTCACATACTATTATTTGATTTACTGCCTGCCCTTTGATTTAACATGATTTAACCATGTTTTGCAGGGCCGACATCTGGGCAATAATTCCTCCATAATTTCCAAAACGGAGATAGAAAGGGGAGATGATGTGATGATGTCATGGGGTTGTTCTTTTTTTCCCATTGTGAAATCCATTGTTTGGGAAATCTCTAGGGATGAAATGGCCCCTACCTTGGGTAATTATTCCAGGGGGGCATGTCACATCAGGAATAATTGATTTGGAATAAATCGTTTTAGGGCCTATTTTTAATTATTCTGCTAAGGGGGTCTATTCTATGTCAAGACTTGTATGGAATAATTTGTGTCAACATACCTCAGAATAATTAGCTATTGATGGGCATATAAACTCAGATGATAAGTCATGATAAATTTTGAACCATTATTTGAAAAATAGATGACAATATATGACAATAGATGAGCGGTGATGACATGTGCATACATGTGCTGTTATGATCTGTTATGTGCTGTTTCATCGCCCGTGATAGAGTGCCAGAAAGAATGTCAGAAGATACCAGAAGATATGCCAGATAGAATGTCAGAAGATATGCCAGATAGAATGTCAGAAGATATGCCAGATAGAGTGCCAGAAAAACTGTCAGAAGATATCAGAAGACATGCCAGATAGAATGTCAGAAGATATGCCAGATAGACTGTCAGAAGATATGCCAGATAGAGTGCCAGAAAAACTGTCAGAAGATATCAGAAGATATGCCAGATAGAATGTCAGAAGATATGCCAGATAGAATGTCAGAAAATATGCCAGATAGAGTGCCAGAAAGAATGTCAGAAGATATCAGAAGATATGCCAGATAGAATGTCAGAAGATATGCCAGATAGAATGTCAGAAGATATGCCAGATAGAATGTCAGAAGATATGCCAGATAGAGTGCCAGAAAGAATGTCAGAAGATGTCAGAAGATATGCCAGATAGAATGTCAGAAGATGTCAGAAGATATGCTAGATAGAAAAGCACAGGGGCCCCAAGGAAATTATTTATCTTGACTCATTTGTCATATTTATTCCACAGGTCACCCACATATGTCAAAACACCCAGGAATAATTGGGCACCACCAGGAAACACCCAGGGATTCTTCAAACCATTCATTGGGTCACCAATGTTCACTCAGTGGGTCCATTGGTCTTTGGCTAAGTTACCATAAGTTACCCATATGTCTTCCACAGGTCACCCACATATGTCGAACCACCGAAGGGAAATTGGGCATCACCAGGAAACACCTAGGAATTCTTCAAACCATGCATTGGGTCACCAATGTTCATTCAGCGGGCCCATTGGTCTTAGGCTAAAGTACCCATATTTTAACCACAGGTCACCCACATATGTCAGAACACCCAGGAATAATTCGGCATCAACAGGAAAATCCAGAAAAAAAAACCAGGGATTCTTCAAACCATGCATTGGGTCACCAATGTTCACTCAGGGGCTCATTGGTCTTTGGCTAAGTTACCATAAGTTACCCATATGTCTTCCACAGGTCACCCACATATGTCAAACCACCCAGGGAAAATTGGGCATCACCAGGAAACACCTAGGAATTCTTCAAACCATGCATTGGGTCACCAATGTTCATTCAGTGGGCCCATTGGTCTTTGGCTAAAGTACCCATATTTTAACCACAGGTCACCCACATATGTCAGAACACCCAGGAATAATTAGGCATCACCAGGAAAATCCAGAAAAAAACCCAGGGATTCTTCAAACCATTCATTGGGTCACCAATGTTCACTCAGTGGGATTCAGTGGGTCCATTGGCCTTTGGCTAAGTTACCATAAGTTACCCATATGGGAATGTCTCCAAAATGGAGTGCCCCAAACTTTCGTTTTTCATCTGAAAAAAAAATGGGGCACTCATGTGGGCACCCCTATTTTGAGACATCCCCATATGTTTTCCACAGGTCACCCACATATGTCAGAACACCCAGGAATAATTAGGCACCACCAGGAAACACCCAGGGATTCTTCAAACCATTCATTGGGTCAACAATGTTCACTCAGTGGGTCCATTGGTCTTTGGCTAAGTTACCATAAGTTACCCATATGTCTTCCACAGGTCACCCACATATGTCAAACCACCCAAGGGAAATTGGGCATCACCAGGAAACACCTAGGAATTCTTCAAACCATGCATTGGGTCACCAATGTTCATTCAGTGGGCCCATTGGTCTTTGGCTAAAGTACCCATATTTTAACCACAGGTCACCCACATATGTCAGAACACCCAGGAATAATTAGGCATCAACAGGAAAATCCAGAGAAAACCCAGGGATTCTTCAAACCGTTCATGGGGTCACCAATGTTCACTCAATGGGTCCATTGGTCTTTGGCTAAGTTACCATAAGTTATCCATATGTCTTCCGCTAAAGCAAGGGAAGAAGAAGCGAGGAACATTCGGGCCCGTGCCAACAAAAATCAAGCCGACGACGGTCCAAGCACGAGAAAAGCCGCCATATGGGTCCACCTTCAAATTTCAGCTACGAAATGGGGAGGACTTGGGCTACAGTACAGATTGCCAGCCAGCATTTTTTTGTACAAACAGGAGGGGTTGTGCCCCCCATTTTGTATTTGGAATCATTTTGTAGTTGATTCCTTTCAAATCATGCATTTTCATTTTGTAGTTGTACAAGTTGATTAGTTGAAGCATCCAACATAAAATCTCATTAGCATTTTGTAGTTGTACAAGTTGAATAGTTGAAGCATCCAACATAAAATTTCATTTGCATTTTGTAGCTGTACAGGTTGAATAGTTGAAGCATCCAACATAAAATCTCATTTGCATTCATGCTAAAAAATCATTTGCATTTTGTAGTTGTATGTATGCTGAGGTGCAGGGATAACACAGATAAGGAATGATCAAGATGGGTAAGAATGAAAAAGACGTTCAACTTTAATGAATGTCCCCCACTAACTGAGAGCCAACCCCCATGCAACCGGCCCCTATGCTCCCAATCAAGGTGCCATAGGAAAACACTTGGAAAACACTTGATCCAACTAAATTCCAGGAATTCTTCACAGGTTAAGATAGGTTGAGCATTGCCGGAGCACATCTTTGAAACCAGGAACGAGCAAAACTTTCAAGATCCCAATAAACCTTTGAGTTTATTTGAAAAAATTTTCTGACACTAGGTTTCTAGTGGTTTGTGGCAATACAACCTCAATCAGCACATGCCAAAAATATACCAAATTTGATTACAACTTGTATATTTATATGAATGGAGAGGGGGGGGGGGTGCCCTAAATTTACCCTAATTATTCCCGATGTCGTGTGACATAGTGGAATGTTTTCCCAGAACATGTGCAATGGGGCTGGAATAATATCCAATTATTCCAAGGTATGCTGGCATGTGGGGGGGGCTATGGCAGGGATCATGGGATGAACACATATACATATACATATATATATATATATGTTATTATAGACACTATTTTTTGGAGGGTTGCGGATCAACAAATCCCCTGTGCCAGGCATCAATTCTCCGCGGGGGACGAAGTCATCGTTTCCCTGGGCAATCCCTTGGATAAGAAAGCCTGGAAAGGTCGGATGTGGGACGTGGGTGCAATCATTTTTATCTATTTGTTTGTCTGTCTATCTATCAATGAATCTATCAATCTAATTATCCATCCATCCATCCATCCATCCATCTATTTATCTACCTACCTACCTATCTATCTATCTATCTATCTATCTATCTGTCGATCTATCGATCTATCGATCTATCGGTCTATCGATCTATCGATCTATCTATCTATCTATCCATCAATCTATCTATCTTTAGAATATATTCAAGATTGAATACAATGTGTTGTATGTTGGGGATATGACTGTTCATTGACATGCGCAGTTCACCACGACCTTAAGGCAAGGGGCGTGCAGCCCAGAAACCTGCAATGTGAGCATCAGCAGAAATACGGATATTGAACTGGGATGATGTCCATCTTTGACTTAGGATGCATCCATCAAGATCCATGAACATATTCATCAATCTCCATTAAACCAGTTGTCATTATCAGTTTTGTTTTTCAGTTGTCCTTAGTTCCTTGGCTGTCGGTATGTTCATTTAGCCTTCCAAAAGGTCACCCTATGGAAATGGGCCATGGCTTTCCATTGCCATGTTCAAATCACAGAGGATATGATCCATTCTATTACACTATGTCCAGTTATTAGTTATATTCCGATACATATTCCTTTTTTTATCCACATGTTATATATATATATATTGTTCATTAATACATATCTCCATATATACCCTACAAATTTCAGTGGCAACCCAAGCACCAGAGGGTAACTCTGGCCAGGTGAAATCATTGAGCTTCTCGGCGGGAAATGATAGGTGTTACTAAACTATATAGTAGAAGTATTAAACCATGATGAACAGTAAATGATAATGATGATATTATCTACTTTATTGTAATCATGATGGTATTTGTTACTAAATCTAGTTATTTACTAAACAATCAGTAGTAACATGTACAGATCATATTTTGTATATTTACTAAGTAAATAAGATAATTGTTAAGTAAGTCATCTTCAGTAAATATCATGTAGTCACATTTTATTACTTTGCATTGACAATAATAATGTTGAACAAAACATAATCCCTATAAGTTATAGACTATAAGTTATAAGTAACAATTGAAATTTATCATACCCCGGAAATGTGGGGGAGTCTATAGGAGATTGTGTTTTTTTGATTTTTCTGGGGGTCCGGATCAGGAAATCCTCGGGTAAAAGTGATGGCGATTCCCTTTGTCAAACATGGCAATGGAACATCATTTCTTTACTGGTGATTTCTCATTGCCAGTCTACATTGCCAAAGATTTTTCATTAAACCTTGGGAGTTGACCACCAAGGGGCCAACCACTCCGGGGGGATCTGTCATAGCTCCAGGGTGGTCATGTGTGGCTACAGTGTGATGCTGGTTGCTTTGAAGTTAAACCACACAAAAGACACAAGGGGGACCCCTTTGCCAAAGATAGATGTTTCAACCAATGTTTCATAAGCGTTCCCTCGAACCAATGCTGGGATCTGTGTAATGTATCACTGTGCGGTGTGACATTTTTTTGATAGCCATTCCTAGCTTTCAATGCAATCCCCAATGGCTTTCTTCTTTCATGTTGTTCAACGGGGGTCTTGAAAACCATGGTGACGAAAACCATGGGGACAACGGACACAACTCGGCGCCATGTATTTCGGTGGATTTCTCCATTGATTTTATTTTCCAGCATTTTGGCGAACGAGCTCATTTACTGCCCCCAAGAACAAGAGAAAAAGGCGACGGTTACACAGCTATACAACATTTGATGTATTTTTTGATATTTTATATAGTAGGATAATATACATTTTTGGATTTGTTTTTGTACGTTTGCTGGGATCTAGACGGTTATCCAATGAACATTTAGCAACTGGCTTGTTTTAGATAGTATATTCAGGTACATTCATGTTTTAATGGTGAAAGTCCAAGGTTTTGCTTTTATTGATGCAATAAATATATGTTAAGCCACATATTATTGATGTTCAATGATATATAAATATATATATATATATTGGGAATTTCATCATCCCAACTGACGAACTCCATGATTTTTCAGAGGGGTAGGTATACCACCAACCAGATATCCATGACGTTATATATCATATCTAACCTCCCAGTGTATTTCCTAAAAGGTAAGTCCCCCCAGCCTTGGTGCGTCAGGCTGGGGATGAGTCGCATTGCCATCGTGGCGGACAGTCCTCCATGGGAGCTGGGCGGACGCTGGAGACTGGACTGCGGAGCCAATAAGACGGCCTATGAGAGGAGCCTCGTGGAAAGGATCTGGATGGTGGTAGAATAGGGAATATAGGGATAGAATATAGGGATGTAATGGTGAATTAATGGAATACAAAGATCAAGTAGTTTGACTAGATATGCACTGTTCACACATAATATGTACTCGTACGTGCATACATGCATACATATTTAAATACATATTTTAAATAATAAATAAATAAATAAATATATATATATATATATATATATATCTGTTTGATTATATATATAGAAGCATACGTTGTTATCTTGCACATGCTACAGATTACAGATACAGTACCTTTGTTTAGGCATTGCAAGTTGCAAGCCCAACATTCCCCGCCTCGGTGCAAGCGACTTGGCTTGAGGAAGTTCTTGGGCGACTTTCTCTCGTACAGTAACATGGCTGGTCATTTGGGGGTTCCATAATGGCTTGACAATGGTCCCAGTGATTCCCAATTTGTTCTGGTAAACCTGAACATGTCTTTGATGATAGCCTTTGTTAGCAGGACGTATCAAAATGTTGGGTTCATGTGTACACTTACCATTGGCCTTCCGTTGTCATGTCGCTGAAATCAACAAAACTTGGGTTTCTCGCCAGGACCAAGTCTGCTTTGGGCTATGTGAGTGGTGCCAAATACAAAGCTTCAGAAATGCGGCGCCTAGTGCTCAACGAGGCGCATCGCGGGAGAAGGGAGATATAAAGCTGACCATAGGGGGACCAATTGAGTGACAATGACTGAGAGTTTGGTCTTCTTCTGTGGTTTTCCTCGATTTCTGAGACTTTTTTGGTTGTCGGATGTTGTTGCTACCATGTTGCCATGCGTTATCACAAATACAAAAACATCGAGTGTTTCAGTTCATCCGAGCAAGAGTTGCTTCCAAGGCCGGGAAAGATGCATGCGCAAGAGCGTGTTACAATAAACTGAACGCAAAAAATGCACCTACATTCGGGTAAAGGTTTGCATCCCACCTTTTTTTCCGGCATTCCACGGATTGGGGAAGCGGGTCCTGCAGGAAGGTCCGTTGTTACAAGAACTGCAGGGAGATCAGCTGGCAGACTCCAGTGAAGTATCTTGGCGGTAAGTGGAACCATGGGGCCTCTTGGAGCTATCAAGAGCTTCCCAACCACATGAATTATGGCAACATATGGCAACATATGGCAACAATAAATGTCCAAAAATGTCTGGTTAGATTTTGGTTAGATCCGGTTAGTTGATGTTACTTGGTGGTTTGAAATCTTAGAGATTATGTTCCATCCTGACTCCTGGGGCTGAAACCACCAATCAGATGTTGACCTGTTTTCTCAGAATGACTACGTAGTCTTTTGGGGAAGTCGTCATGTATATCCAAATTCATGCTGGTAAAAAGTGCCTGATTTTCTGGTAATTCCCGGCAAGACGAGCCAGCTTACTAGTTTGTTTAGTCAAACTATCCAGAATAAGCCATGGTGGAAACCCTTGCCTTACAAGTCAGTACTGGGTAAACCCTATAGTTACAGTAACAGTTATCCTATATATATATATAATATACAGTTAACCATCACCATAATCCCCAATAACCCTCCCTATAGTATCCTATAGTTATATTAGCTGATAATCCACCATAACATCCATAAACCCTTTAGATCCCTATAGTTCCCAGGCCCTCAACGGGTTCAACGAGCTCAACGCGTCGCAGGAGGCGGCGATCTGCGCGGTGTCCAGCTTCAACTTGGGGCTAATCCAAGGGCCACCCGGCACAGGCGTGGCTATGGGAGTATTATGAGGGCTTAATGGACGCTAATAGATGTTATGATATGGATGTTAGTGGATGTTAATGGATGTTAATGGATGTTAATGGATGTGAATGGAATGTTACAATGGGATTTGGTCTTGCAGTTTTGCTATGTTTTTTTTGGACCATAGATGCATAGACCACATAGACCATGGAGCTGCAATGTATCAACCTGGGGATTCCGGGCTCATTTCATAAGGGCTCCCATCTCTTCAAAAACAGATTATTATGACAGTATAATACGTCATAAGTCCTAATGTCCAGCCGATATTCTGTGTATGCATATATATATATATAATGATATTTATAATATATATATATGTAGTATATATATATATATATATAAATATCATATCATGTGCATATAATTTCATTTTGCCACTGTTGTTGAAGCAAGTGACAGCTGTTGGTTACGGTTGGTGGCACGGAGGCAAGACCACCACCACCTGTCAGATGATCCGCCGCATGGTTGAGAGGCGCAAGGAGGCGAGGGGCCAGCGGTTGCCGGCTGGGAGCCTGAGGGGGGAGGTCATGGCATACATAATATGTATAACCAATTATCAACAATTATTAACCAATGGTTATCCCATCATTAACCATTATTATCCCATTATTATCTTATTATTGGCCACTATTATTACCCGCTGGTTATTTTGCATAGCCATGCTATAGATGGCCCATTTATAGATGGTTTACCTATTCAAAATGGTGATTTTCCATGGCTATGTTAAATAACCGGATGGTATATATAATTATACACATATGTCTGCCATATACGTGATGCATTAATCATGAATCAATTCACACAATATTAGATAAACGTGTTTGGTGATGACGATTTACTACCGGAAATGTAGTCATGTGATGTTATGATGATAAACCAGTTGAATTTGGGTACCATATTATTTCCAGACAAAGTCAGATATGTTTCGAAAATACCTTTGTTGCAAGATAATTCGCCTTCTTGTGTGCGCACAATTGGGATATGTCGTTCAGCAGTTCGTGGTTCTGCACGACCAAAATGTATCAACATGGAAGTTTGGTAAAGAAAAATGGCGCCTTAACCGACAGACACAGGACATGAATGAAGATATCGGCAGTACATGCGGGTCGGTATGTCTCAAAATTTGAGACCGACTAGCCACAAATACAGTGGGTTGGCCATTGGCCATAACCTCTTTTGGCGGTGCCAAAATTCGATGTGCCTGCATGCAAGAAGGGCTTGTTCTAGATGTTCTTGATTCAACTAGTCAAACTTTGAACAGTAAGATTTCATCAATATTGGCCATTGCTTGTTCTGCTACTGTAGATTTACAGTACCAACCTTATGAGGGTACTCTCCCAGTACAGCTCAGGATGTAATCACCGAGCTTCCATGACCATTTTGAGTCAACTGTGGACAACTACACCATTGGATGTTTGGAACCCCCAATGTGGTCATGTCGAAATTCCAGAGGATTTCACTCCCATTGAACTTTAGTTCCATCCTGGAATTCAGTGTCCTTCCAGAAGTCCGCAGGAAGGTTTGAGATCTTGTGGCATCCTTGTTGCTGCTGATAGCGCCTTAGCCGAGATGACTTCAGCATCAGTTGGACAACATCACTACAGTGTCGAACCATAGCATTTCTGCATGATATCCCCATGGGCCCATGGGTACATCTAGGTCAATCTTAGATGGCTACTTTATATCATCCTTTAGTCTTTTGGTATCAATGGGATTTCATGGGATTTCACTTTAATCCTTTAGTCTTTTGGTATGGGATTATCTGCGTTCACCAGCTAAAAATGTCTTTTTTTGCAGGGTATCTGGCTGGTTGGCACTGACATCATGACCTGAGGCAATGTGGCAGTGGACCAGTTGCTGTCCGGCCTCATACGCTTGGGGGTGAAGGCACTGGATCCGATAAGATCAGGTCTATTTATTTGTTTGAAACACACACACACACATACATATATATATATATATATACCTGGATCAACTGGGGAACGTTTTTTTTTGGGAGGTTTCTGTTTTTAGGTTGAGATCAAAAATCCCCAAAATCCCGAATTTCAGGAATTCGTTCAAACATACTAAAACATACTAAAACCATGTAGAAACTACATGTTTATCATCACAGTCAGAATCGATAGGCTTCAGATGGTCCAATTTCCCTGAAATTGATAGTAGACTTTGATGGGTTGTTTGTTGGTTCCTCCATGGTTTTCCCCGACCAGCCCTTCAACCCCTGCTCATGTGAATAGCGACGGCTGCCCCTGCAGCTGAAATTGGATCCTCAGGATTCACTTGGTATGATTGGACATGGAAATAAATTAAAACGAATCTCAACCTTGACCACATCACAGGTCTTTGTGTTTTTTTTTATCCCCCGGGTGCAGCATCATGATGTTGCCACACATCGAAAGCACCAGCCAAGTACCGTTGAAGTACTCGTTGATGGGTCGTCCTTGCATTCACCCTACGGCTTAGCAAGGAGGCCCTACCTATGAAGTCCTCAGCCATGGCACAACTAAATGCTAGGACGTTATATGGTTTTGCCCCTCTGTACAGCTCATCTTTGATTTGAAGCAAAATATGGTGAAAATAGTGAATTTTGGGTTTATAAACCCACAACGGTCTGTGCAGTGCATGGGCCTTTGAAGCCAATTTGGCATAGCATCGCATGTAATGCATACCACTTTCCAAGACTTTGGTGGCTTGGTTTCTTTCCTCAGATGTTTTACGGTTCCCAAATCAAGAGCTATCTTGTGGGAAAACCAGTTCACTTGAATTGCAAAGGGGTTGAAAACACCAGCGTAGTAAACAATGGGGTTATATTGAAAACAGAAACCTTTTGCCCAGACAAGAGACCATAAATAGATCGGAGTCATAGAGGGTTTTCATACAGACCCCAATGCTTTGACAGGAACTTTGGATGTAGTACAAAACCTTGTCCGTAGATACCTTCTCTGGGTAAAGACTGCAAACATACAGGATGAACTCAAGGATCTTTGGGGTGTCACTGGCCTTAGACCATGTCCCAGTTGGAAAGACCTTCTTCGCGTCCAGAAAGTTCAACATATTCCGGGTGAAGTTGTAGGTGTGGGTTGAAACTTTGAACATCCTTTTCCACAATCTCCAGGCTGAATTCAAAGAGTCCAGCTGCTTTTCAACACTGGACCCCTGGAAAAGAATCCCAAGCATGTAGACCAAGCATGAACCAGCATGATCTTGCCCGAAACCTGCTAAGTAGATGTGGAACAAGTCTGGCAAGTAGAACTTCGCTGGGTGCGCATTGTACCCCAGAGAGTTCTCCATCAACCCACATGGACTATCACCCCAAGGCGGTATGTCAATCCAGTCTGGCAGCGACTGGTACCAGGCAGGGGTCTCGGTGTGAATCTCCTCGAAGGGTATGGTGACGTCCCCAGCCCCACAAAGCCAACAACACCAACCTGCTGTTTGATTTGCTTTCTTGGGGTCATAAGGCCCCTTGCGGCATGTGCTATACCATCGTTTAAATTTTCCAGCCCGAGCTTGAAGTTTGAGGTCAGCTTTCAAACCAAGGAGGACCAAGCGGAAATGTGCACCACCAACCATGACTCCTTTCTCAAAGCATTCGGCTAAGTCCCGACCAAACTCAGTGAGCATCGCTTGAAATGTAGAATCATCTTTGTGCCAAGCAGCAGGCATCACTGCCCAAAGATAGTGGGTTGCGTAGCTATGCCCCAGTAAGTTGACACGTGGGTTGTTTGCAGTTTTTCTCTTGAAACTGACTGGTCTGACCGCATGGTCCTTTCGATTCTGCTTGCCTGTCCCAATTCCAAGAGCTGAACTCCAGTTGAACACCATTAGCTCTGACTTTTTGAATCCCCGACCACCGTCAGCATGTGCATAAATTGGTATACAGGTTCCATAGTCAACGCCAGGAGTGAGAAATAAACCAAAGTCAGGATGACACAGTTCATACTGCCGCCAAAAAGTTTCTAGGAGAACCCGACAGGAGGAGATTCTGTGGCCACCAAGTAAGCGATGTATGTTCCCGCTCCCAGCCATGTACTCTAAGAAGTCCAGAGGTTTGATTCGAGGATACCCTTCCACATGACTCCCCGACAAAGGTGAAATCTCCAGTGGCAACGCTAAATTGTTCTTCTTCAACAGGGCATGGATTCTGTCTTCAGCGTTAGCATCTGGTATCCTAGTCATTCCCCGAACCACCGGGCAGGAAGCCACAACGCTTGATGTCCCTGCAGCATCCGCCCAGGTTTTCCGAGCAGACTCCAGCACATGTGTGCAAGGCACCTCAGTCACCGGCCAGGATGCAGCGGCGGCTCCCTGAGAGGGCTGGGGAAATATATACTGATCGATATTTTTGCTCTATTGGGTGTATTGGTCATCAGTATGTTTGTCGAAATACTTGCGAAGGCAAAACTTTACTGAAAAGTTCGGACAGCACTGTCGACGGCTCTTTTCCCAAGTGAGACGCTGAAAGGGGTCCATCACATTGCAGATTTGAAAACAAGATAGGTGAAGAAGGGAGGTTCTCCGCTTACCCTGCCTTCACCACCTGGCCGAATGTTTCGGTTACCAGGCAGGCCTTTGTGGGAATCGATAAGTGTGGCTTCCATCAAAGCCGCTTCATCCCAGGTGCTGCATGCAAACAAAACATACATGCCTTTGAATTTCTCATGGCAACGGTAATAGCCAAAAGTGGGCGACGAGCTCGACCATTCTTTGTAAAAACGAAACATGGGATCCGCTGTTATCCCAATCTTGTATACATGGGGACCACGGTCCAAAACGCTTTGAATTTTGTTTTTGCAACATGCCAGGGCCTGGCCAGCATTGGCATTAGGGGGAGGCAATTTCAGCCAGACCAGCCCGTCTGTATCCAGGCCTTGTGAAATCAAATTCGACAGCCGAGGCAAGCTTCTCAGTTTGGGTCTAAAGAGCTTCAATACTTCGATATCACCTCAGGTGGTTAGTCTGTCTCAAAGATGCTATTTAAAACAAGCATCTCTATGTTCAAGCGTGGTTTTGTCAAGTTCAAACACTTGAAAAATTGGGCGTTGGACTGCTTGGCAAAGAATTCCCATAGTGCACAGTCCGTTGGTGACACCTATCAGTCAGAAGCTCTTTGTCGTTCATGACGGCGTCTGATGTCTGAGAAGCTAGTCTGTGACCAGAAGATCGGATTCGTTTTGGCTTTGGACTTTGGCCTTACATGCGACCAAATGCCAAGAAAGACCGTGCAATTAGCAGGAACAGCTTCGCAGGTTTCGCAGGTTTCATTTGGTTCCCAAAACTGTAGTTTATCAAATTCTGCAACCACGCAGCTCTGGGCAGGTGGATCCGGAAGGTGCTGCAGCCGACGTGTCAATTTTAACCCATTGCTCTCTATGCTAAATCCAAAGAGTTCTTCTAACCAAAGGGTATCTTCACAAGACATGCTGACAGCCAAGATGCTATCAAATCAATGTGCGTCAAGTTGGAGGACCGCAAGCTTAGTGAAACATAGCACACCACTTTCTGACTCTGAGGTTGGCACGCCTTTGCCAATTGAAGCAGCTAGGTGCTCAGCTGTACCACTGACCTTTTGGATCTTTGGACCTGGCCATCACCAAAACTGAAGTTTCAAGCTTTGGCTTGCTTTGGGAACTAGTTTCTGGAGACTGGGGGATACTGGGGGCAACATTGTATCGATCTATTTCTTCACAGGTGTGCGCATGTGGGTATATGCACGCGGGTATGCATATGATGCGACACTGGGAAAGCATCACTCCTTGAATGCAACTGCTAGCACTGGTTTTCCATTCCAGCGCAAACATCTAGCGCACTTTCCCAGCCATCACAGGATATTTGGTGCCCGTGATATTTTGGGACGATTGTTTACACCCCCACAACCAAGCTTAGCCTTTGAGGGCCTGCGCACGCTAGCTGTGAGCGTGGAGTGCAGGTCGAAATCTACGATCATAGCATTGAATTGGTTGTGAAAAACCCACTATTTCTTCCAAAGCAAATCTTCTCTGGAAAACGCTTCAGTCAAGATTTTGAGCTCAAGTCTCAGGATGCTCCTTGTCAACCTTTGCCTTGGGCTTCTTGGCAAATGGCCTGGACAGGAAATGTCAGATAGGACATCTAAAATGCGTGGCTTGAATCAACATCATTTGTAGATACATTTCAACTTGAAGACTTGGCACATCGAGTTCAAGTTTGCACCTGAACTTCTTCTCCGTGGCCACCCATTTTGTGAGCCTGAGTGAAGCAGAGTACAACAATGGCCCTGTCAATTCCCAGCTGATATCAAAAAGTGTCCGGTATCTACTTGCGTTGGAAAGACTAATTCGCAGAACCCTCAGACAAGACAAAATGATAAAAAGAGACGTTGAGGTATTGACACCTTCTGGCTCTCCGTGAAGATCTTCGCCAACTTGTCATGTGTCCTTTGTTTGGAAGTAAATGATGCTTAAGTCCTTTGGGCATGTCAAGCCCACAGCATCAGAAACAAATAATTAGAAACAAAGAAGTTTGCACGCATGGTGCCCGCACTTTCGATACAAAGGTTGATTTGGGACTACATGTGCATCCTTTTGTGGCTGACCTGGGCTGAATCCATGTGTTTTGGCGAGGCTCTCTTGGGAATCTTTGCTCATGGTGCCAGCTTTCATCTCACCGGCGTACTCCGTCATGGCATCGTAGATTTTACCCAAGTCAAGCGTGAACTGTGCAACGACTGGCACCGCCCTTGGTCTAGCTACGCCACGACTAGACATGCAACAATGCTTTGAAAAAGGTCGCGAGCACAAAAACGAGCTTCCACCACCTATAGGCATGATTGTGTGGGGTCGTTTGACAACTAAGTAATGGTCTCACCCGCCCCTTGAACTGCAGCAGCGGTGTTCTCCTTCAGCTTGCCATGGAAAACTTGAGCCTTGTTCAGGACCACAAGCAATTCGTCCATGTGCGTTTGTAGTTCGGTGACCTAGAGGGTCGGTGGCTTTGGGAAACGAATCAAAGCATTTTCTTTGAGTTCAGTTCCTCAACGTTTTTGGGATGCCCACAACAAACTGTCCCAATCACAGATTGTTTTCAAATTATCACTTCAAATCCAGATGGGTTTGAAGAGTAATTATTGAGTATTGCAAAGCCATGTATGAAATATGGGAACATCGAATAATATATAGAAAATCATGGCCTTGTTCGGCTTCTTGGTCTCTACACCAGGGCCCTCGTGGCCATGCGCAGCCAAGTCTAACTTCTGGGGCAACAATTTCATCGCGAAAGTATCAGTGGTTCCCTTCGTAGCGGTTCTCTCCTGGAGCTTTTGGGATTGACGGTTTTTGAGACTGCCCTTGGTCCTTTCATTGCACCAGTAGTAGACCACTTCGTCGTCCACTTCATCGACCCTGGGCTGGTTAAGCCATCAGAGAGGTTTTAGATGTAGAAGGGTGGTAAAAACATCCTTATTAAGACTGGTTGGAAACAGACCAAACATGAGTCCAAACTGCATCATGTACGTGGGATCCTTTTGCCCACGTGCCACGGTCTTCTCAATTCTGCTCCTTAGCTCGGCAGTTGGGTTGGAGAATGCATCCAATTTTTTGGACAATAATTTATCGTGTCCCCATAGCGTTTTTGGAAATAAGACCGCGAAAGGATATTATGAGCGTATCGCGGTTTTCTGTTTGTAGCCCAGTTCATCCTTCATCTCCTGTTCTGTGTAGAAAGCCCCGGTGGTCTCCAACTCATTGACTTGCTCAGCGGTTTTCTCCATGGACACTTCTTTAAGGAATTCTTCCTCCCATCGGGGTCTGAATCAAGGACGTGTCTAATGAGATATGGGTTGGACCCCAATAACCTTCACTTGCTGATATCAAAAACCAGAAGAGAGGATAAGCCCGCATACCATCGAAAACAAAGCTTTCCTAGTTGTTCTTTAAGGTGTTGGGCGTGGGGTATCCCCACAGGTTACCTTGTCCCTACCCTCATACCGTTATGTAAACAACATTCGAAATTCGAAGACTATAAAGCAGATCTCTTCACCATGCTTGTTTGGTTGGAACCCTAGTCCTTCTGTCCGTCACTCCTGACGAAGGCTTCAAATAGCCTTTCCCTGGACGCACCCTTGCTTTGAAACTGGTCAAATATGTCTTGTGGAACTTCAATCTTACCGCTGGCCTTTTTGGGTTCACACATCCTCCTGAACTTGCCTCTGTACTTTTCAACCTCCTCCGGTGTGAGCACGCGTCCCCCAATACGTTTGCCAGTAGTCGGGGCCTCTGCGGCTGAAGAATTCAACCTCTTGGCAAATAAGGCTTTAACCCCAAAGGTTGTTTGGGTCTAGGCTGTCTTGATCTTGGGGCAGCTACGAACTACTCCCCAGAATGTTTCCCGCTAGAAATTTTGAGGTTGGAAAGATATGTTGAAGTTCGAGTAACATTATAATGCAAGCTTGGTTGTGCTGATTCCATCAACGAGCCCACCTCGGTGGTGGCTGAAGTATTGGTCCGGGTCGAAGATGTCGAAGGTGGTGTCGTCGAACTAGCACGGGCCTCCAATTCCTGCCAAGGAAGCTGGACGTGATTGATTTTCTGGACGACTACTGGCCATGATATGCAGTTTGAAATATGATGATTTCAGAAACAATTGTGTTGCAACATGCTTCGGGACCCCCACCTTCTGAAACTGACCAGGACCCCCCAAAGGAGAAAGCGACATCGCTCTGCAAGGAGGGGATTCAAGAGAATCCAAGTAAGGGTCATATGTAGCAGGAAGAGCTTTGGGAGAATTGTCAAGGTCAGGAGAAAAAACGAAACCCCTTCGGATCATGTGATCGTCCATGTGATCTTCATTGTCTGACAAAAAACCATATGGATCATCACTCGCATCAACGCTCATGTTGGACAGTCGAGATGGCGAAAGCTCCCCCTTCTCAGACTCGGAAGGAGCAGCCCGAAGACCAGGTTCAGCCAGGGGAGCTGTCACCTAAGAAGAGAAACCAAGTCTATTGGACAGTGTCGATTGCCTATGCCCCAAACTTCATTCAGTTGGATTCGGGTTGTAACTGAATAAATAGAGGGAAAATTAGAGCTAAGAAACCAGGTTAAGCTCTTCTTTGATTCCAGGCTGTGTCTCTGCTTCGGCTATCTCTGCCTTGGCCTGCTCCATTTTCAGTTTGACCTCCTTCACAGGGGGTATGGTTCCCAAACATTGCACATACCGAGTAAGAACCATGAATTAGAATAGGAACGCGTAGAAATTAGAACTTAAAATGATTTGTGCAGGGTTATCCTGAATCATCTTTTGTAGCTCGTTTGGGTCATCCGGCATGCGTTCTGTCTGCTTCAGCATGCTCAGGGCTTCGTCAAGGGATGAGCAGCTCCACAAATTGCTTTTCAAGGGTTGTGACGCCATGGGTTGTGGAGACACAGGGTGCCAAACAGTTCGAGCCCTAGCAATCTTCAAAAGTTCAAACACCACATGAAGTCTCAAAAGTTCGAATTTAGATCGAAACATGAAAAACCCAGATAAAGCCTAACTTGAAAATATGTTGGAAAAAGCACCACTTCGGCTGCTTTTTTTTGCGCTTTGGTCGTGTTTTTTTGGGCGCTCGGCGCTGTGTTTTTAGTCGCTTTTTTTGATTGGTTTGCGTTTTTGGTCGTTGGCTGTGTGTTTTTGGTCGTTGGCTGTGTGTTTTTGGGCGCTCGGGGTGAAACTGGTCAAAATCATGTAAAACTACGAAAAAAACACATCCAAACATGGGAAAACCAGAGCTTGAATAACGCTGTTTAGACAATCGCTTATACTCAGGTTTCCTGGTTCCAACAAGAACCCCAGGAAAGTGCGACTGGGGCTGCTGACAGGTATATATGTTGATTGGACAGGTCAATGCAATGTTTTCTTTTCACCGCTTGAGCTGCTTCCAGACCATCCTTCTAGAGTGGAACGTAAAGAATGGGTGGGGCGGGGCCCCTTTCTGTAGAGAATTCCATTTGCCAGTAATTTTGATGAAAGTTTTGATGTTGGATTGGTACCCTCAGGGCCCCCCCCTTTTCTACCATTTAAATCTCCCTTGGAAGGACGCTCTTCCAATTGGGTGGAATTTGCAAAGCTTTGGCGCCATACAAGTAGCGAATCAAAGATCGCATGTTAGCATCATCCCACAAATCGCCCCAGCTCCAAGTCTCAAAGAGGGCCACGGCATCAACCCGAGGATTATCAGCAACATAGTCAGTTCGAGGCTTCAGCCTTTCGAGTAGCGAGGCAATCTTGTTGCCAAACTGGGGCGTGTAGTGCCTCAAGGCGATGAAACAACAGAGGAGAAAGGTGGCGGGCCAGATGTACCTGGACGACCCCCATCCCTGTAAAGAAACACCATTATATTCCCAAGATCTATTCCAGCATTCTTCCAAGTAGAGGTGTGCTTCAAGGTGTTCTCAGCAAACTTGTCGAATTTGAAGCGAAAAAACTTGGAATGATACAAAGAGGCCAATTAAGGGTCCCACTCTGTTTGTTTGAGTTCCGCGGTACCGTGATACCGAGGTCGCCCTTCTTGATCGCGATATGCCCGACAAGGTTGGGGTTTGTTGGGTTCCTCCTCCTTGGTTTTCAATACTTTTTTAAGCTTCATAGTCCAAAACAACCCCACCGCCTTGCTGGAAGACCATAAAATTGTTCTCTTCGGGGTAGCTGCGGAATAGTGTCTCATCCACAGACAGCATTGGAATATCTGGCAGGGTCTGGCGGGTACAGGGTACCTCTGCAAACTGATTCAAATTCATAGCATCCCTGCAATGAATAATTTTGTGAAGCAATCAGATATCCTAACTCCATACTAGGGGTGTGCTAAGTGGGCAGCCTCATCAGGGATTGAAAGTTATCATACTGTAGAACGCTCAGGTCGTGTAGTATTAAAATGAACTGATCAAGTTTTGGAAGCCCAACCTTGAAATGGGACAACAGCTGGCTCATCCGGTTATGGAGCATAAGCAGGGATGAACGTGGCTGTTCGATTACCCAAGTGCCATTCAAGGCAACTGTAAGCAAACAAAGGAGAGCCACCCTAGACAGGGATAGCGCCGAAACAACAGTTTCACCCAGAATGCAAAACATTGGTTGAATCGAATGTGGTGTTGCAACTGAACAACCTTTTAAACATCACCGCCTACATGCCATTAGGTTGGCAAAGGACACGCAGTCTGATTCCAACAGTCCGTGTGGGTTAGCTGCTGATCTCCCTGTGCTTCCTCGTGAAGTTGACACCCATGTACTGCATTGAACCCCAAGCCAATGAATAAAGCCGCTTGGATCTCCACGTAGAATTGCCACTATGGCTGCCCTTGGGGTGAAGATTTCCACCAATGATGTTGCCCAATAAGTAAAAACATCCAGTTTACCCCAAATTCAAAATGAAATGCCACATTTTGGTGATCGGAAAAATATGCGCTTTAAACCATGCAAAGGTCCCCATACCACTATTGGTGTTTATATCCAACTTCTCTGAAAACTTGACATCGATAGCAGCGGTGACCTTCCCCGGGAAGCTTGATTGCACGCTGCGGGTCGCCTGAGCTTGTCCAGCAAAGCTTTCGAGGAAGAACAGGGGCTCCTGAAGGTTGGCCAAAGAGATTTTAAAAATTCAACAGGGACTGGGATAACGTTTTATTTAGTTGGGAGTTGCTATTCCAAAAGAGACTGCATTGCTGCTTTCATATGTGTGCATGAGTGTGTGGTGGATCAAGCAACAAAAACACCCCATGTCTCTTCTAATGATGTCTTTTTTCCTACAGATCCCATCAAACAAACAGTGTATTGCACATGCCTCCATCCTTATCAATGGAAGGCTGTTTGCACCACAACTTGTTGTAAGTCTCAAACGGATGATGTTCTAGATGTAGGATGGGCTCCCATTGCCATCCCTAACAGCCGATAACCCCAGCACCAAGTGATGCCTGGCTGTGCACGTTGATGGATGGATTCCACAGCAGAAGCAAGCAAGCGAAGGCCAGTACCTTGGCCAAGAGACCGGTGACGGGGCCATCAATGATAGATCCCGAAAACTCATCAAATTGGAAAGAATATGTTCGAGTACCTAGGTGCCTACAAAAGCCAGATCATGAATGGGTCTAATGGTACACTTCAAGGGGCTTTTGGCGCTTGGAGGTTGTGCAAACGTCGAACGACTTGGTCAGCAGTCCACATGGGAAGTGGGTCTAGATCAAGACTACAACGTCCAAATGATAGCCACGCCTCCTATATACAAACAGAATTGTTTCAGCTCCGCTTTGATGCTAGATAGCTGCGATGGCACCCATGGTTGAAACCGTTTGAAAAAACAATTACATTGTCTCACGCGTGGCCGGGACGGCCCGTCAGAGCACAAAAAGAATCAAACATTTTATATTTTGTTTCTTTGGCACTTATTTCAAGAAATGGAAGCATGTCCATCGAAGGTGACGGTGACCGGCTTAAACATGCCAATCCCACGAGATTCATTCAAGAGCCCCAATTTGGCTTCCCGCTTGACTCCTCGAAGCTCTTTCATGTTGCCTGCAGGCATGGCAGATTCAGTTGGAGGAAAAAGGACCAAGGGCATGTTGGACAGCTGGGGCTAGGGTGGAAAACAAATTCTTTACGGTAAAAAGGGCAAGCAACTGATCACCAAATCACTGGACTGTTTCTTTTGAACCCTTTCACGGAAA